AAAAAAAAAACAAAAAAAACAGTAACATGTGCTAAGATTGCTAGGATCTACAATAAGAATCTCTCGTCTATCTACATTGTGAAAAAGGGAAAAAAAATTGTAAGGTTTACTGCCACACCTCAAACTGCAAAAGTTACAGCCATGGTACATGGTAAGTGCTGAGTTCAGGTGCAAATGACACTAAACGTGTGTGTGTGTGTGTGTGTGTGTGTGCATACAGGAAGAAACAGTGCACGGGGCAGTACTTTCCATAGTTTCAGACAACCCCGGTGGTCTTGCAATAGAACCCCATGAATGCCCTGAAGACAGAGCCGGGGGGACTACTGTACATTCTTTTCAAATGCAGAAACCAAGAGTATTATGACATTTGAATTACATAACCTAGCTAAGGTAGGCTTCAAAACCATATGGGAGGGGGTGGGGAGATGGCTCAGTGGAATAAGTGCTTCCCTGGCAAACACAGGGGCCTGAGTTCAATCCCTGGTTCTGAAAAAAAAAACAAAAAAAAACAAAACAAAAAACAACCATATGGGAGGAGGAAAGTACATGGAATATAGGGGAGTTCATGGCTGAGTGCTGAGCAATGGTCCTGAGGTTATTTCATGATATATATTTTGCATATATTTAAATTCTTCTCCAATGAAAAGTTTTTAAATATTTAGAAACCTTACATTTAAATGGTTTATACAGTATTAATGACACAAATTAAAAATCCACATGTAGATGCATTAAAATAAAGTTTATGCACATCAAAGAGAAGAAGACAATGCTAAAAGCTTCCAGAGAGGAAGGGCAAGTCACCCTGAAAGAGCATGGTCATGCCGGTTACTGCTGTGCCCTCGGGTAGATGACTGTTCAAAAAGAAGGGGGTGGTGAATGAAGGCAAGAGACAGGAAAAGGAGTATCGTGGGACTATCCTGCTTCAAGGTTGTATATGGTTAGATTTTTGGACTTATGTGTAAATATAAGTATATAATTCTTTATGCCTATTTTTAAAAATATAATCTAATTTTTAAATGTTTTTTCATCATATTCTGTAGGGACTTAAAGTTCAACACATCAATACTTGATGAAAAACACCTGTTCCATGTTATGACTAAGATGTTTGATATACAGACAGTAAGGTTAAGCTTAACAGCCTAGGTTATATGGTAATAAAAA